ATCGTAGACGGTCATACGCCTTAACCACTCGGCTACTGTGGCCCAATAATGGGGGGCTAGTGATCGTAGACGGTCATACGCCTTGACCGCTCGGCTACTGTGGCCCAATAATGGAGGGCTGGTGATCGTAGACGGTCATACGCCTTGACCACTCGGCTACTGTTGCCTAATAATGGAGGGCTAGTGATCGTAGACGGTCACACGCCTTAACCACTCGGCTACGGTGGCCCAATAATGGAGGGCTAGTGATCGTAGACGGCCATACGCCTTGACCACTCGGCTACTGTGGCCTAATAATGGAGGGCTAGTGATCGTAGACGGTCACACGCCTTAACCACTCGGCTACTGTGGCCCAATAATGGAGGGCTAGTGATCGTAGACGGTCGCACGCCTTAACCACTCGGCTACCGTGGCCCAATAATGGAGGGCTAGTGATCGTAGACGGTCACACGCCTTAACCACTCGGCTATTGTGGCCCAATAATGGAGGGCTAGTCATCGTAGCTATATATAAAGACGGTCACACGCCTTAACCACTCGGCTACGGTGGCCCAATAATGGAGGGCTAGTGATCGTAGACGGTCACACGCCTTAACCACTCGGCTACTGTGGCACTTTTCCGGTTGGTTACACGTGCACGCCCCCGTATTCTCTTGTTGTGTAAAATGGCATGATTACAATGTAATGAAGCCTCGGGAAATCAATGCTATCCCAACAAACTGAAACTCCCATTTGCACTATTCTGCATTTGAATGCACGTAAATATACACATTAAAAGACAGTATAACGACACCGTTGTTAATATTTCAGACCTTTTAGAAAGATATTTAATTTTCTTTCAAAAGTCAGGTCATAGAATCTTTATTAATTGTTGTTGTTGTTGTTGTTGTTGTCCCACTGCAAGTAAACACTAAAGAGTTCCACTGTAGTTTTTTATGCATACAGTTACCTCCCCTTAAATTCGCTTGGCTCTAACAGTAGTGCGACTTGGCCACGCTATTTTCATTTACCAAGTAGCTCAGTGGGAAAGAGCGACAGTATCAGGATAGGTGGTTCAGCGTTCGAATCCCATTCTAACCTCGTTGCATTGGTCCAAAGCGTTTGATTTTTTTTTACTTTTAAAAGGCGTCTGACATTCCGCTACCACTAGCCCTCCACCGCTGGGGCACGGGTTCAAGACCTACGTGGGGCAGTCGCCAGGTACTTCCCGCAGGTCGGTGTTTTTTCTTTCTCCGGGAACTCCGGCTTTCCTCCACCACCAAAACCTGGCACGTCCTTAAATGACAACAGCTGTTAACAGGACGTAAAACACAAACAAACAAACTAAAGCTTCGTCTTAATTATTTTTCTGTAGAAAAATCCGCATGTTATGGTTTTCTATTTATAAATATTTCATTAAAGCTTTACCTCGTGTCAGAACAATGTTTCCAATGCATTGTTTAAATTTTGGCAGTGGAACGGGGATCCTTAAACAACAAGATTTTGTGACATACAATGCATTCAACATCAACAATAAAAGCTGTTGGATTCACGCTCAGGTTCATTTTAAGACACTTTGTTTGGATTTAGTGAATTTCTCTCCGCTGTATGGACTTTCCGTCGGTAATAGTTGCTAAGGTATTTTTAAGTTGAATACCCCTTATACTATTTTGATATAATGATGTTATGTTGTAAAAAATCGTAGATGGGATACAGTACTGTTATCCTGACATTGGATGCAGAGCGGTGTACTTTACCCAAAGACTGTGTAATGTTTAAACATACAGCGGAACTATCCTGATTTTTTTAAGTATTTAACGGGGAGTTAGTTCCCTTATTCCGCCAAATATCGATTCATGTTCGACATCTATGTAAAGGCGAAGTTTATCAGAGTATTTAACAAACGGACCATCCAACACAAGAAATAATTTAAGTAAGATTTGTACCGACGTTTCAAAAGTAGTTTAGACAATTTGAATTTCAAACCTTTTGGTCCCTAGCATCATCAACGAGTCCTCGAAGGAAGAAACAGCTGTATAATGCAGCGTTACTCATTTCTACAAACCAAATTTTAAGGTGAAATCTCCTCTGTGTGTGTTATATTTATCTCTCAAGATATAAGCTGGTGGACTCTGCTGATGTATTTCGTATTCCCCGAGGTTTGCTGTAACTTTGATTGCCACAGTTATCTATTTCCAGATTATTTAATTTAACTTTACCAGTATTTCTCCAAAGTTTGAAATTCATGAATTATTGGTTTAACGCACCTGCCCCTTTGTTTCAGCAGTACTTTAGAAAATTTGGATTTCCAACTTTTTTGTCCCTAGTAAATTCGATGAGTTCTAGAAGGACGAAACAGCTGTAACTCATTTTTAGCGTACTGTCCCACGGCACGGTAGTCTAGTGGTAGGACGCCGGGCTCGTGACCGAAGGGCTGCGGGTTCGAGTCACGGCACGGCACTTTGTTGTATCTTTGAGCAAGACACTTTACTCCGCTTGTTCCAGTCTACTCAGCTGTAAATGAGTACGTGGTTGGGCAGTGCTAGAATTGTTGAATGCTAGCTGTTTGCGCCGTAATGGCAGCTCCGGCTGTATGCTCCCCAGGGAGTTGAGAAAGGAATCGGCTGGTTGCAAAGGCCCTATAACCACGGATAATAATTAGGTGAACCGCTTTGAGACGACCTTCGAACAAAGTTGTGATAAAGCGGTATATAAGAACATCGAATTAGCTAATACCAAATTTTAAAGTGCAATCACCGGTCTGTGTGTCACGTTCATTCTTGAAAGAAACAGATCATGCAGACTCGAAATATTATGTCATTATGTCACTATTTATTACCACAATATTAACGTTCCTACTGCGAATTGGAAGGTTCACAATCCTGAAATTATATCAATGAAGAATAAATAAAATACACCCTCTGTATTCCGTACCGTTTAAGAGGTGAACACTATTTAGGAACTTCTCGATTGTTTTCTTGTTGGTCTCATGACAGCTACGCAACTACTATGACATAATTTCTAAACGTGTCAAATATAAATGCGTGTATTTGCTGTTAATATCACTTCATATTTAGTCATCAGCAAGTTGTAAAAACTGCACAATTTGTTTGCCTAGTTACATTTGTTTGACGTCTTAAAACAGTTTACCTATTTTTGTCCCATTCATATCTCATAAAAATGACATAAATTTAGCACTTAAAATATAAACATGGATTTTAAATATTTCATACTAGAAGAGGCCATTTTTGTATTGCTTCATTACAAGACATGTGTGACCGCAAACTTACTGTAATGATACTGAGTAAATATAATAATATTTTTAATGTATTACATTAAAATTGATTTCAAATGAGAAATAACGTACTTATTAAAATGTTGGTAATTCCATATATATAAAATAAATGTCCGTATACTATATATATAGATGTAAAACAGTACAAAGTTTATATCAAATGTCAAATTTGTCCAACCTAACGTTTATAACGTATCTAGTCACGGAGTTCCCTTAACGTGTTGTGAATAAATCCCAGACAAAATGTTTCCTCACTTTTTTGCGTTGCCTATATTAAACTCCTTTGTATTTAACTCCAACCTTGCAAGCAGAGGTAAAAAAATAAAAAGATTTCATATATGAATAACTTAAATTGTAACATACAAAACACATGGATTCACGAGAAGACCGCACCTACTTTACAACATTTGTCGGCGGCTTGAGAAGACATTTAAAAGATTAGGTTTCCAGGTGTAATGAACCCATTGTAGCCTTTTGAGCTTTAACAAACGGAGTCAGTGAGATAAATAACGGTTCACTGCGGGCTTTATTACAGAGTACCCGACTACTACTCCCGTCGGTAATATATCAGTTTATTTGTAAATCATAGCACACTCGTGGAAATGTTTATTACCCTCTTATAACACTTCAAAATGTATAATCAATAAAATCTATTTTGTCTGTTTGATTTAGTAAATAAAATGTGAATACAATTTGTTGATGATTGTTTTCGTATAACAATAATTTTGCATCCATAAAAAAATGTATGTTTATAATTTTAAATTTGAATCTTCAAAGAGTGATAAATGTAAGGACTTAAGATGCTTTTGGGTCCTGGTTCGCCCTTTGGCAGTATAATGTGACCGGGTGGGGCGTCCTGCTGGGTGTCTTCGGCAGCATGTTTCAGTGAGGTAGCACTGTAAAGTCGGCATCAGTTCCGCGCTATCACAAGGAGACAAACACGAACATATCGCAGCCTGCCAAAACACACACGCATACACTACACGCATGCATCTTGCACTCAGTGGAGGCCGTCCTTAAATGACCATAGCTGTTGATAGGATGTTAAACAATACTAAACCAAACCAAACTAAACCAAACCAACATGTTTCGGTCTGCTATGCTGGGCCATCATCAGGACATCATCAACGACATCCTAAGGGACATAACTTAGATTTATTAGGTAAGGCGTATTTTAGTTTAGTGAGTCCAGCGATGTCTGTAAATAGCTCTAATCATTGAGATATGCCGATGGCAACTTATATTCCGTCTTTGCATATTGCAGATTTATCTTCTCTTGTGAGCAGGTATTGATTTTTACGTCACTGGTTTGTGAGAGTAACGTCATCAATTTTTGAGAAAACGACGTAATTTTTTCACACAAACCAATGACGTAACAATCAATACCTGCTCACAAGGGAAGATAACTCTGCAATATGCAAAGACGGAATAGCGCATTATGATTTGTTTTCTTGCAAAGCTGTGTCGTACAAGTGGATCACTGACAAGGAAGTTGATTAACCAATATGACTTTGCTTTGGCCTATATGTGTACAAGACGTTTAAAATGACAAACGCGTTAATTACCTTGAGTTACCTCGTCTTACAATAGGAAAGGTATATATATATATAAATTGAATAAACTCCATTGGCTGAACAAAAACAATCCGTTGTATTACACCTCTAAAGGGATATATTAACCTGAATTGCGTAGAGTTTATTTTATGTTTGAGGGACAGAAGAGAAAAATGTTTTGAAACTTGATATATATTTCCATATCTGGTGAGAGCTATCAGCGCGTCTCTGACACGAATCACCCAAATGTTGTATCACAGCGAGATCCATAAGATTATCTTTGAAACAGATCACCCAGACAAGGTCACGGTCTGAACTATCAGAGTGTCAAAGAAACAGTTCATCCGGACTCAAGATATTTTGTGTCGCCACGAAGAGCACTAAATAGCTTTGCTCAAGACACAAACAGGTCATCTTGGCTTTGGGTACTCTGTGTCCAAGGAAAGACAAGCCAAGTTACAGACCATGGAAACTTCGACATATCTCGTGTTGCCACAGACACCGTTCTAGTGACACGTCATCGTTACCTCGAGATATATGATGTTTAAAAAAGACGAATTTCAGCAACAGACCAAGGATATTTCGAGATAACTCGTGTGTCACCGTAGATGATTTGATGTGCTAAAGATGCTATTTTTGACTTTGGTACATCGTATAAAATACAGACTTCCGGAGAATTACGTCATCTACATCCGGGTACTTATGATGTGATATAACATAGTCTACGGGATAAAATGTAAGTGATAGTACATGTATGTATGCGTTTCTGTTCTCTGCAACCAAAAGCCTAGGGATCATATAAAGAGGTTTCTGAAAAGGAGAGGTAGGAGGTCAACACAGGTAAGCAAAACGAGGACTGATCATACATTTTGAGTTCTAAACATGATTTTACCAGATTTTCAGCGAGATGGATAAAATGTATGAGTTCCGCAAAATTCATATCATTTATCAGTGGTACAATGAACTGTTCTTTAGCTCAAAATCTGAGTTCATGAATTTGTCCCTAATTTAAATCTGTAATAATGTGTCCGTCTCTTAATTAAGGCGACATTTGCTAGTTATCATTTGAAATCTAAACCAGGACATATTTCAGTAATCTTTAAATCAGTTGTTGACATGTACATGCAAATGTCACGGGGTTTCAGGAACACACAGATCTACCTTAATTTGAATTGCAGTATAACCGACTAAATCTTCATATTTACGAACGTATATGCAGTCATGCTGTCCTCCGTTGCATCCTTGAAGTTATGAAGAAAAACATATTGGATTCAAATAATTTTCCTCTTTTAAAATGAAAAATCTTAGTTTTCAAACAGGAAGGAGATAATCTAGTAAAAAGATGCTGCTGTTTTTTTTTTGTCAAAATCCGAGAAAGTGGTACATTGACACGTAGCTAGTATAGTTTCGAAGGTAACAAGGATATTCGCAGCATTTCAATAATAAATGTCGTATCTGAAACAGGTATATACATTTGACGAGGCCCATATTTCTAAAAAAAAAACATGTATGTGTAAAACTTTCATTTACATTTTAGTTAATTTGATTATTACAGCGTGTTTCACGGACAATGATGTCCGTTGTTTTACGCCTGTCCGTGATGTGGTGCCTGCTGGACATCTGTCAGTCTGGCCCAGTATTCAGACCAGTGCCAGACCAGGGCTTTATTCTAAAAGCACTTGCAGAAGTTCGGCAGAGACGAGCGGCGATGATAAGTGGTATGAATTTACGATACAGTATCGTTTCGCAACATTTTGGCTCATTCCGTCAAAGCTCGGATTCCGAGCCTTGACGGAAATAACCGAGATGTTGTGATTTGTTATCGTATTGTATGACATCACATAATAACAAACTTAATATAATAAATGTTTGAAGTTGTAACGTTTGTTAAAATCAATCAACCAGTTGCTAAAACAATAAAATAATTTGGAGACATTCCATGAAGTCTATCTAACGTTGGAATAAACAGTTCGCATAATTCATTTTGATATTATTATTAATCAATCAAAAGTCATTGGTCGACGCATTACATATATGATGTGCCTTTGTCAGAACAAATTGGCTGAATTAATACGACATGTCTTCGATATTTTGGTTTGTGCTCCGATAAATTAAACAAAATATATTCCAATGTTTTCATATGAAATATTTATTCTAATTTCCTTTTTCTTTGTCACCAATTTAAAAAAAATCTAATATTACATGTAAACGGGATATCTTTATTTTTAAGATGATGGTAATGGAGAATATATAAAATGGAAACAGCTTGATGGAAGTTTTGGTGTGGAGTTTGCCTGGGGAAGTACTAGATCACATATCAAACGTGCTCTGCGGTCAACTCAGGGGGAACCGTGGCCCAAACCACAGGTTTACAAAACTCGGGAAACCATATTCACACTTAACCCCACCCACTTTAAAATCAACGTTGACCAAAATATCAAAAGTGACGTCATAAGCGAAGCTATAAATAGATACAACCGGACTGTATTTGAGAATGCTATACAAATTACAGAGGAAAACTTTAGAAACGCTCCAAAATCAGAAGTAAACAAGGAAATGCAATATGAAAGGGACGAACTGGGATTTATTAATGCTGATCGCATCCGGGCTCTTACCATACAGGTTAATTTCACATGTGACGTCACTAAATCAAACCGGACCAATGTCTCATGTGATATATACCCATCGTTGACCTCAGACGAGTCATGTGAGTAAACTGATATTATCCTTATTATAGTTTAATTGATTTGATAACTGAAGTATCTTAATATAAGTTGCGTTTGATTATATTTCTTTAATTTGTTTTACAGCTTTCCTGATTGATGCCATAGGTCATGCTTTGGTCAACATTTTCTTTGCTGTTGTTATATTTTTAATGCATGATCTTCAGTTTTGAGTTGAAATATAAAATGTTATGATATCAATTGTGTCGATAGGCACTTCATTGTTAAGGTCATCTTTTCTTTAGAAATGCGCTGACTGTTACCTCTCATTGTACAATAAGGTTAATGTCCGCCTTCATTTTGTAGACACACTGATCGTGAACTCCACGGGCATTTTCTTGAGTGCACAGGAGGTTTGGGGTGTGGTTCACGGCCTAGAGACATTCAGTCAGCTTGTGTTACAGTACAGAGATCAGGTAAATGACATGAACTCCTGACATGATGCGTTATCTGTTTATTTGGCGTGATGCAGTTTGTTATTATTTGACGTGATGCACTGTGATATTTTCTTATTTAACAAAAAACTAAAGTGTTTTCATTGTTTGTTTGACGTGATGTACTGTGTTTTTATTTGACGTGATGCACTCTGCTATCTGTTTAATTGACGTTAACTATTATGTTTTCATTGTTTGTTTGACGTTAACTATTATGTTTTCATTGTTTGTTTGACGTGATGCACTGTGTTTTTGTTTGACGTGATGCACTGCGTTTTTATTTGACGTGATGCACTCTGCTATCTGTTTATTTGACGTTAACTATTATGTTTTCATTGTTTGTTTGACGTTAAGCCCTGTTTTATTGTTTGACGTGCTGCGCTGGTTTTTTATCATCTATGTGCTACAAATATAAAATGTATATGATACAATGTGTTTTTATTTTGCGTGATGCACTCAGTTTTTATTATCTGTGCTATCTGTTTATTTAATGTGACGCAGTGTATTTTTTATTGACGTGATGCACCGTGTTTTTATTTGGCGTGATGCCCTTTATGTAAACTTAGAAGTATGGTAATGATGTTTTAGCATAAGATGTGTTTATTAAACAAAAAATGGGTCATATATTATTCAGTGTGATATGCAGCGTTCAAACATTTGATGTGAAAAACACCTGTGTGAAGAAAGTGAGGTTCACACATTATGGCTTAATAATTTAATCTTGCTTGTAACAAGCATTTTCATTGGCTTAAAAAAATATGTTATCAGCCCATAACATAAATAAAATGACGTCGCCGTTTGTAACGTCGCTTTTGATTGGCTGATACAGCAGCGCAATAATTTCTAAGAGAAAAGAGTCCATCAATAAAAGTGGATTTCTACAGGGATTGTGTATAGTAGATTAAATTATAAGGATTAAGTTGAATATATTTTTCATGTTATGGAGCTATAACACAAAAAACCGAAATGTACTCTCATCAAAAACCGCTTCGCAGTTTATTTAGAGTACACTCCGGTTTTTTTGGGTTATATCTCTATAACATGAAAAATATATTCAACATAATCCTTAATTTTAAGAAATAAGAACCTATTTGAAACTTTCATGTGTCGATTCAAAAATCCAAAGGAAGTTAAATTTAACCCCTATACCATATGACCATTTTGTCCATTGGGGACTCATCAATGTTGCAATATGTGTTTTTTAACATATTCTGTTATCTAATAAACGAAGAATTTGAGACTTACAAATGAAGTTTTCTTTTTAAATGAATATTAATCTGCACAGCGATCCTTGCTTTCTGCTACCTTTGTTCCAGTTCTACATAAAAGAGACAATTATTGAAGATTTCCCCCGGTTTCCTCACAGAGGGGTTCTGATAGATTCGTCGCGCCATTACATCCAAAAGGAGGTCATATTAGACGTATTGGTAAATCTACTTTTTGTCTTCCTGTCATTTGGTTATATCATATTAATAATAGAAGATAAACGAAACGCTTTTCAAGTTATTTTTGCCATGATTGAACAACTGCAATATTTCGGCTTTCCCAAATACGAAACACTGAAATATAAAATACTATTTTAATAGCAATGTTCACAAGTAAATTGAATTTAAGACACATTATGTCAGTATGAAGCGTCGGGTTTATAATAATGATACTAAGTTTGACTAATGAGTTAAATCAATCATCAGCTTTATCTTATTATGAAATCAACTTGAAACATGTTGGGGCCGTGGAGGTCTATCTATCGAGTGGTTCAGGCGTCCGATAATCCAGATCACAGCCGGAGAGCAATGGGTCGCAGGTTTTCTTCAGGTACCCCGGTTTTCCTCCACCATCGAAACATGGCACGTCCTTCAATTACTATAGCTGTTAATAAAACGTAAAATACAAGCAAACCAAACTAATTGATACATGTTTAATCTGTAACATTTCGTTACAACAGGAAGGAATGGCGATGAACAAGATGAACGTTTTACACTGGCACCTCACGGATGAGCAGTCATTCTCTTACAAAAGTGACGCGTTTCCCGACTTCAGTCAAAAAGTAAGTGTCAACAGTGATTTAAAGTTTTCATATCCAGCCACAAGACATACAAATTATAAATCAGATAAGAAGAAAACAAACGTAAAATTTTAATGAGGTCAGGTTGAAGACAAAAATTATATCAAAATATAACAAACTGATAAATTAGAAAAAATCTGAAGTTAAGATTAGGGGTATCACAACATCAGATGTAATAGCGAAGGAGTGTTCCACTTGAGAGCTGTTTTTCTTAATATGCTTAATCGTAATTTCTGAAAAGGACGAAAAACTAAATGGTTTTAGGTTACCTTCTAAATCAAGATTCAGATCTCCCATTTTTATGCTGTGCATTTATAATTTCTAGATGGTTGAAAATGTGTGTATATGGCACTGGCTTTGTAGCTTTTATTATATTTTGTTATATTTTTTTGTCTTGTTTTTGCTTTATGTTGTTGTTATTTTTTTGTGACAATGATAATGATATATTTCAACTTCATGATACTCGTAACCCTGACAAGGGAATTATATACATAAATATAAGTAGTATATCAAAATTGACCTGATGATTATAATTATATGGCTTGAAAATTACTGAAATGCATGTACATTTTGTATGTACAAAACGAACAAAGAAGTTTTACAAGAGAGAAAAACCCCGCTTAATATGCAATAGCTGAGGTCATATGACTATATTTACACATACAAATGCAGTCAAAAGTGAATTTCATTTCGCAGCAAATCATTGAAATTAAAATTATTTTTCACAGTTTCCACTAATATTTATTTTAAGTATTTTAATATTGACAATGACGCAAAGCATTTAGATCAAAACTTGGATTAGAATTGCGGAATGTTTTATTGTAGGGTGCGTACCATCCAAATATGGTCTACACACGTGACGACATCAATGACGTCATTGCGCATGCTCGTCTAAGGGGCATCCGCGTCATACCAGAGTTTGATGTGCCAGGTAAGTTCATGTATCTGTATTTACTCTAGTAGCTACTTGCATACATAATATCAAACATAATAGTTTCCTTAATCTTAAATGTGGGACAACAACACTTTCTTTACAACTCCAAAATGCGCATGTCAGCATGATTGACGTCACAACAGGAAACGACTTCGGATATAATATGACGGCATGAACGTTGACCTGTGTTGTTTAGATTTCACGACTAACGTTGAAAAAGTGGAAAGGTCTATTAATATTAATTCATTGTGCCTAGAGTAGAAAAACAAACATTGTCTCAACTATATTATTTTCTGTACTGAATTGCAGATATGTAGCGTGCATGAAAGAGTCATTTTTCTCGCATTGAAACTTATTGTCTTTAAATCGACACTTCAATCAATTCAATAAGTGAAAAAAACCGCATTGAAAATGAGGCACAATTTCTAAATATTTTTAAATATTTTTGTTCCAATTGATATCCTTTCCCCCGGTTGAAAAATCCAACAGCGCGAAAATTGCCACTTTTTTCTGTGAGTATCATGGTTTTAATATCTCCGACCATTATGCTTTTTACGCTAATCGATATTTTGAAAGAAACTTGTGAGTTTGTTTCAGTGTATATAAGCATGCTCACAGTAGATCACTGATACTTACTCATTCCCGTGTACATGAACTGTACTATTGCTTCAGTGTGTTTGACTTAATGCTGATTAAGGCAATTGTCCTTTCTTACTCTTTTTCTGTGTTGATAGGTCACACCTACTCCTGGGGTCTCTCCTATCCGAAAATGTTAACCCAGTGTTACTTCAATAACATACCAGTGCCTGGATTTCTTGGACCGCTGGATCCCACAAACGAACACGTGTTCAAAATCTTGAGCAAACTGTTCGAGGAAGTCACCAGTGTATTTAAGGACCGATTTGTTCACCTAGGAGGAGACGAGGTTAATACCGAATGTTGGTAAGTGAAATCTTTCTCCCATCTTTTTGGACCCTAGCATCATTGACGAGTCCCATAAGGACGACACAGCTACATGTATATGGTGTAATGTAGTTCATGTTTTGGTAACTGTATATATTACTATATGTGCATCACATGTGTGTGTGTGTGTAACGTATATACGTTCATCCTTCGATGAACGAAACCAATATAAAACTTTAAGTTGATTGCTATAGTAACAGTGTTTCCAGAATTCAAAACTTTATGTAGATATATATATTCTATGTTAACATACCTCCGTGTTGCTTAAACACGGTCATTTATGTACAGAAATGCCGTTTTATAATTTCAAATGTTAACGTGCATGGAAAACTTGTCATCGTTATTGGTAAAGAACAGCATATACTTATGTTAGCCAGATTCTCGATATGTGTACGTGGTATTTTCCTGGATTGGACTAAACTTAACATGACGCAAGTCGTTGTTGAAGCAGAAAAAATGATAACCCTTCCGGAACGCCTGGTCTTATTTATCCTGCGCTCTTTCAAAGGTTACCTTGTAAATATCTCTTTCGCATTTTCACATTTTTTATAATTTCGTCAGTTTGATTAAACGGTTGTTGGTCACTTTGATATTCTACCGTTCTTTTCCAAATGACATTGGCAATTATCAAAATGTTTGGGATAATTTTCTTTATCGTGTTTTAATACTGTTAAATTTATATGTGGGAAAACTCAAAATAAGAATTTCCGATAAAGTGGTTTTACTCAGTAATTGTATTACAAAGTATTACTATTTTTTCTAACATGTTCAATAAATCGCTTTAAATGCCACTCGCATGAAAGCTCTTTCTTCAAGCAGTCACCATAGGCCGTGTTTTGTTAACTCGTAACAAAAAATTAAATGCTTTCATAATGTTTTTAGCATAGAAACTACTCACTTGTAAGCTCGTTCTCCACCAGTTGCCAAAAACAATAACTTGTTGACGTATATGTCTGCAATTAAAACAGTCTTTTTTGGTCGAATCTTCCTTAGGGCGTCAAATCCAAAAGTTGTGGAGCTGTTTCAGGCACTTTTCATCAAAGATAATCTTAGAACCCAATTAAGTCAATCTGGACCAAACCTGTTTACCAATATCACCACAAACATGACCGACAACGAGATATCAAACATGCTGCAAGACAAAATCATGTAAGTAGATTTTATTTTTGATTACGTTTTAATAAATGCATAAAGAACATCTATCAACGATTTTCTATAACTTTAAGGATTTTCGTATCAATGCGAATTTGTTTTGATATATCTGATTTTTTTCCCTGCATTATCTTTAATATATTATTTTCTGAAAAGAAAATATAGCTTGCCAACATTTAATAAGAAACAATCAAGTTGGGGGAAAAGACAACATTGAATATCTTAGACTAAAACTTAAAATGGTACTAGACAGGAACTCGAACCATTGACCTAAATAAACTAACTTGTACAGGTAGAAAGCACCAAGTCACGTTACAGTTATATCCTAGGGTTTTTTAGGAACAAGAAAATAATGAAATCCATCTTGTGTTTTGCTTGCAGTGGGACAGGGATCCTGAAATCTGAATGGAATGTTTGCTATTGTTATATTTTCAGATTATCTAAGGTACCTTAAATGTTTTAACGAACAGCGGCGACTTTCTGAAAGTGTTCTCAAGCTGCTGGTTCTTGTATTTCCACATAACTGATTGATGATGAATGCAATACTATTCTGAAATAGAACACTAGTTTAACGTTTTTTGTTTTGCTGTTTTCCAATGTTGTTTTGTTTTCTTTTTCCTTTTTCTTTTACCAATTTAATTGATATCATCGTTTAGAGGTTTTTATTCCCCCCCCCCCTTTTATTTTTTTTAGCTCAAATGACAATCAACATGAAGTTGACTATAGAATTCTCAAGGAAGTGCGGAGTATTATAAGGCAAGTTCAGAAGATATTTGGTTCACAATATATTCTGTAAAAGCAAAATAGTTTTGATTAATTATCATCAAGACAAATGTATAACTAAGTCGACGCTTTCACATAATAATGCAGAACATTTTCATGTCACAATAAAATATACCATTGTCTATTAACAAGAAAAGTTACTTAAGTCGGTTCATATATATCTTGAAAGTTCAACAACAAAACATTTTAATTTCAGAAAAATGCAGAAGAGTCCAAGCATGATGAAAGAAAATCTTCCGACGTACATTTGGGAATATTTTAACAACAGGTAAAACACATCGCATGTCAAAACTGACATTGATGATATTATCATAATACAATAGAGTTTACATGATATAACTTACTGACTTTTATTTAGTCATTAGCTCATTAGCGTTTACATTTAAATAAAAATGATGACGACGACGACGACGACGACGACGACGACGACGACGACGACGACGACGATGACGATGATGATGATGATGATGATGATGATGATGATGATGATGATGATGATGATCTCTTTCTCTACAGATTGAAGGAGAAATTGGATGCTATTGCACGTGATCGCAATTTAGGATTAGACGTAATTATGTGGCAGGATGGGATGAAACAGGGTGTCAACGTAAGTAATAGAACATGAAATTATCATCCAATCAGTATGTATCTTAAACAATAATTTTCATTTAAATTAAATAATGACATAAATAATTGGTTTGTGTGACTTCCCTATTTCCTAGATTCCTAAAGACACCATCATACAAGTGTGGACGTCAAAGAGCCATGAAATCGGCCCGATACTCCGAAAAGGGCACCGCATCATCTTTTCCACGTGCTGGTATTTAGACAGTTTTCGGAGAGGTGTTCATTGGCAAAACTTCTACAACTGTGAGCCAAACGGTACTTTTATTTTAACTGCATAAAAAAACAATATTATTAATTATGTTAAACAATGGGATGAACGGTAGGCTAGCCAAGAGAAACACTGACAAAAATATATTTATGAGAAAAAATAGAGAGCACGAAGATCGCATATTTCAGCTATTATTCGAAGATAAACCTTCAATAGATGATATCGCGACCAGTGGAACTCTTCAAATAGGAAGATATTTAACTGTACTCGCTGGGGCAACGGATATATAAACATCATGGCAGCGCCAAAACATTCAGATACGAATTTTCAAGAACTTCCATGTAATGAATTGGGTAATATTTTAAAGTCAAAAGGTATCAAATACTACAAATAAGAAAAAAGGGGGAGCTAGTACTAGAACACATATGATAGCATGCAGACATGTTAAATTGGCCAGATATTGAAAAAGAGGACGAAGCTAAAGCGTCACAGTTGTGACGGACCGTCAGCGGCGTACAGAGTATCGTGTGTAACCTTTATGCAAATGAAATATCAGAAGGCTTGTTTTGGACGAACAATTTGATTGGAATGTCATCACTACATGCATTTGATGTGACCTCTATTCTTGTGAGTTATTTGTGTTGGTTCAATACAGTGAAGGTGTGTCATTTTGTTTACACATGGCAGATTGTTTTGCCCCCGTATCCTCGCATTCTCACGCGAGACTTGTGCATTTTCCGGCAAGAACTCTTCGAAGGGGAGTAACTCGTGGATGGTCGCGATAACAAGTATTGAAACGTGTTTGGAAAAGTAGCTTGATCCTTTAAATTACTGAAGCAAGATACATGTATAATCTTAAGTATTTCACGAGATGCAAAATATGTATCCAAATTCAATAGAAAACAAAACAAAATATAAAGAAATCACACAAAAACTAAGCTAACATGTTTGATGGCTTGTTGTAAGCAGAGGTTGATGCAGAAGAAGGCACCCAAATCCTGGGAGGCGAGGCTTGTCTTTGGAGCGAATACATTAGTAGCGAGATGGTGTCAAGCATGCTATGGTATGTACCGATGGCGATAATTGGCATATCGGCTTGATTGTACTTCTGTAGGTGAGATACTCATTGAAGGAAATGGGCGTGTTCATGTTTAAATGTCTTACTGGATAGATAGTAGACGGTTGTCGGTCTTAATAATGTAGGGAAAAAATAAATGAATACAAATGGAAACTAACACCCAGTAAAACGAATCCCCTTTCCTTTGACCATTGTTTATTGTACTCTTCACATGTTATAACTATGTATATTAATATTCACTGTCATGATGAAATCGCCTTCATTGTGGAGGATGAAAAACTGCGGGGAATATTTCCCGGTATGCAATCATCTTAGATAACCTTATTTCGTATATTCAGTTTAGCTTGTAACTTGTAGCTTAGCTTTTTTTATAATTTTATTTTTTTTTATTTATATTTTTATTCAGTTTTTCAAAACATGGCAATGTTTGAGAGACTATAACATACTTCACAGTACACTCATCCTAATCATTCCATACACATTTCATGTTAACCATACTCAATTCGTATACCCAGTTATCTAAGTATTGGGTCTGTAGAGAAGATTAGTGTTACTGATCGTGTGTACCATCATATTCATTTCAAACATTTCATATTGTATTGTTTTGTTGATATCAATATTTCCAAAATAAAATATTCTCAATCATTTATAAACATTTTGACATAATTGAAGTTAATGTTGAGGGATATCCTCTTTCAAGCTGGCTTTTAATATACTCTTTCTATCAAAACAAATCATGACACTTCGATTTAGTAATTTGTTTTAATATGACTGTTTTGATCGTTTTCTTGGTCTGTGTAGGCCACGTGGCTCAGCGGTAGCAGAGAAGTTATGGAGCAGCAGGAAGCCTAGAGCTCTACTTGATGTTTCCAGGAGGCTGTCAGAGCATCGGTGTCGTATGCTGAGGTATTTAATAAACACTATGACAGTGGCAAAAAAATGAATCAAGTTAATTCAAGGAATATTATCATATTAAAATCACATCAGATAATACTCTATATTTATCGTTTTCTTTGTGTGCAAACCACTTCCTGAGAATTGGTGATATCGATACAGAAAATAATGAACTTGAAATATGTCATAATACAACGGCCTCTCCAATGCCAATGAAACAATTATAAAACATTTTTTCGGTGTTTGCATATACTTAATAACTTACCAAATGTTACAGACGCGGCCTAGATGTAGGATATGCCAATGGGCCCGAGTATTGTGTCAGAAAGAAAACTTCCAGAACTGTCCAGTCGACACAGCATACAGATAAATTAACACTGAATTTGGCGAAAGACGAAATCGAATATTTGATAGAGAAATTGAGACAACCTAGGATTTCATCTAACGTGTCATACGTTTCTGCCGTTGCAGATTATACGGTAAGTATGAAATAAACCGCATGTGGAATAGATTTACCTGCAACAGATAGTGTGATCTTTCCATTTATCATAGGATATTGGGACATGCAAGGAAGTGACCGTAAGAGATGATACGGTAATTATGTAAATGAAAACAAATGCTACACGTGTCAAACATATTTTTATTGACAAAGATACAACAGTAAATATGAAATATTTGCAATCGCCCTAGTTTCAAATGCTCGAGATCTCAGAGTGAGTTTTCTGATCAGTGATATATTTCGTCATTAGAGAAACTACGGTAGTTATGGAAGTGACGGTTAAAAATCTTACGGGAAGTGTGTAAGTGACAACCGTGAACAACTGTAATGATATTCAATTGAACCCATCAGAGATACTTTGGTAAGTAAGAGATACCGTAAGAGACTAGTTATATTTGCGTTTTTAACCACCAGGGAAGGTGCAATATGCACATTGCATTGAGTTATCGTTCGAGCCCTTAGTAAGGCACCTTTAACGGTTTTCATATAGCGTTTAGCGTTATAGAGTTTTTCGTGTTGATTACTATATTTCGGGCATAACTATAATTTAATTGATCGCGATGTCAATAGCTTAGCGCCCTTTTATGTAATATTGCTTACTTAATAAATATGATAATAATATTTCTGGTCGATAACTCACTTCATACGTACTTCCGGTCCTAAATTGTAATGGTTTTTTTTCATTCTATGTTCCAGTCGATCCATTTGACAAGTCTTTTCCTGTCTATAATAGGAGTCCTAGCACTCACGTTAATGATGGTCTGTAGGAAACAACGACGCTAACGGAAATTGCATTAAATCTGCCAGGATGCATGATATATACCTTTGATTTGAACATTTGAAATGCACTGGTGCTAAAAATAAATATGTTGAACCAGCATGATTTTACGTTATGCCTTACCAGTGCGTTCACCGAATGCACTGTAGTATGTGTGTAATATATACCGACAATAGACTTGTAAAGAAAATAGCATTAAGATTTTTTAAACGACATGCATCTTTATGAAAAAAGCAATGCACGTTTTACTCAGCAATATAGCTAAATATATCATTCTCTGGCTCAACCATGAAATATTGATCAAAGATATTTCACGACGTCCATATTTGAATTTTTAAAATACACAAACATATTTCAATCACAGTTTAATGACAGAAACTCATGAGTAAATATAAAACAAATACCCTCAATTAGTTTTAGTAAAATGTATGACACATCGGCAATGGTCTTTCATGAATGTTTTATTTGCGAAAGACTTGTATTCAACATGGTATTTGAACTGAATGAGAACATAGTCACTTTGCCAACTCGGCTTTGCAATAGAAAATATTCATTTTGGTGAAAAAATATTTTAAAAATAACATATATGCTTCGAAACAGTGTTTTGGAGCTTCGACAAAATGCAAAATATCAAAACACTGATAGAAGTATGAACACAGGTTCTTCAAAAAGTCATTTCATAAGTACAGCTTATAAACATTTGTGAAAAAGTACATTAGAATCAAAATTGTGTTTATTATGAAACGCGTCACAACTCAAAAGATGTAACGTTGGCCACCAAGGTTACGACAAACCTTGGAGACTAAATAAATACACCAACAAAGTCTACAAACTTAACACACATACGCAGGTGATAACCCCTTTAACATTTGGTAATAGATAGATAAAGCCTAAATTGAATTACACTGCATCATACAGCTGTTTCGACCTCTTAACACTCATCAGTGATGTTAAGGACCAAAAACCGCGAGGCAGAGATGTGGCTGTGCAGTGTTATGGAGAATATTATGTGAAAACAGGATGAAGTGAAAAATATATGTTTGTTGTGAATAAAATCGTTAAAATGATTGAGTTTCTGGTTGACAAAATCATTTCTGAGCTCGTCCGCAAGATATGCAAGCAGACTGTTAGCATTCAGTGCCATTTTTTTTTTCTTTTTGATTTTAAGCCAATGTAAAATATCTGCATATTACAGCCCTTAAATGTATGAAAATGTCATGTTTTGTTCTTGTTTTAATTGTTTCTTACAATTGAGACGATACATTGATATCCATTCATATGCTTTTATTCGACTTGCATCAGTTGTTATCTTTAATTCAAAAGTTGTGTTCCCATGTTCTAACCGAAACGGGGGATATTAATTTGGGTTTGTCCGTCCGTCAGTCTGTCAGTCTGTCTGTCTGTCACGCTTCGTTTCCGTGCAATAACTGCCACAAATGCTAACCGATTTTCTTCAAACTTGGTTACAGGTTTAAATGCCTTAAGGGATCGACCAAGTTTAAATTTGATGACCACTTTCAGGAGACTTTATTTGGCGGAGTTATGGCTCCTTGAATAACGAAAAACGTCATTATCTGCCGTTTCCGATCATTAACTGCATCAAATGCTAACCGATTTTCTTCAAACTTGGTACCAGGGTTAAATGAATTAAGGGCTCGACCGAGTTTGATGACCACGTTCAGCAGACTTTATTTGGCGGAGTAATGGCCCCTTGATTAACGAAAACCGTCAGTATCTACAGTTTCCGCTTAATAACTCTAGCAAATATTAGCCAAATTCCTTCAAACTTGATAACAATGTGTGTGTTCCTCTGTCTTTCCATCCATCTCGGACACTCTTTGTTTTTTGTTTGATAATTGCTGTAGATATACATTTCAAGTTTCAAGCTTTACATTATGTCTCAACAGCACGATACTCACATGTTTAAACCTAACATCAATAATGTTTACCTATAATATGTCCTGCAAGCGGGGGATATACATTCAACGTATTTGCTTGTTATATCTGTCATTAAGCATCAACCAAATTGGGTAGATAAAAAATGGCTAGTTAATAAACACATATGACTTGTGCAATCACTGAGAGAAACGCTACCATAGAACTAGACGATAAGACAAACTGGTGAAGGAAAAATTCGTGATATTGACTTTAAGTATGATAAAACAAATGTGTTTTTCAGCAGAGGATGAATGTTGCAAGGGGTCACCCTAGAAAATCACTGTAATCTGAGTTTAGAGAATGACAAACTCTTGAATCTCATGGAATCAAAAAGCCGGAATAAAGGACATGATGATGTCAGCAGCGTAGATTGAAGTATGCCTAGTAGAAAACCTCGGCTTCGTAATACTTTGTTCGTCAGAAGTGATGTTTCTAGACTAAGTCCAGACCCTGAATAAAGGCTATCGGAAAGTAAAATAACTGACATGCAAAATTCGAAATCTGGAAGGCTTGTTACTGCCTAGTAAATAAAAGGAAATATTTAAGAAACAAATAGTCATTTAATCTTTAACCTTTTTTATAGACCTTGTATTGAATTTAATGATGTTGTTAAATAAGTAATTAAGGTTAAAAATTAAAATCATAGTGGAGAGCTTGGAAAATAATTTCGGAACCTGTGTTCACAGGTATCTATAAAAATGCTATTTATCGCTTGTCATGTAAAATGTGATTTCAAATTATCGAAACTAAACCCTTTAAAATAAATTAAAGATTATACAGTATAAAGTAAAACCTGGTTACACTTTCAGCTTTTGTACAGAGAGGTTTTGTCTTTTGAAAGGGGTTTGACGATAAATTGAATGTATGTATATATGTAGATGAATTCTTAAAAAAAACCCAAGGAAAAAGGATATTGGAATATGTTAGTGGTAAACAATGTGGCAAATGAAACGAGGGGCATTATTTGAAGGTTTTACTGTATACTTGTAATAGTTCACATTTACAACAATACCCTAAGGAATCAACTTTAGCTTACAATATGTCTTCTTAAAAAAGATGTCCAGAGATTACCTGTGAATGGAAGTCAGAATGTGCAGTCCATGGATAACCACTGGAGGGTAGGAAATGACACTAATAGATAGACAATACCTCTCAATAATGGACAAATGACTTAACGTAATTGTACAGTCGACAGACCGGCCCCACTATACCTCTTTAACCACGCTATGTTGGGCTCACTATGTTGTTCCAAAGTATTGTTAGCTTAATGAATCTTTAGAAAACCAATTCACGAAAACAATTGAAATGCATATATGAATCAACAACATATGTGTACTTATTTGGATTAAAAATTATAACAATTACACAAAAGAATTATTAAAAACATTTTATATCACAAAAATATGATAGAAACATTTTAGTTCTATCAAGTCTTAATTCCATTCAATGCTTTTGGTTCTCTGTTAGACCACGACGCTTAATATACGCAAAACTTCATTCCGTGTCACTGATCTGATAGAATATCGAATATCGGATTTATGTCTGGTCATTTAAAATGACCCTGTACTGGTTAAAACCTAAAAGCACTAATCAAAACGATTATCATTGTATTCAGGAACACCTGTACTGTAGCTTTAGAGGGTATGGAATGTATTGTATTTCATTGACAAAGTAAAGTGAAGAAAAGGCGTTCTACTATCAAATTCCCCAACAGGTAAGTTAATGCAATTTTTCTTGTTTGCAAATTTAAATCATCAGGAACAAACAACCGTTTTATGTTATTTTAAATAAACGTATTAGAATAGCGTGTTATACATGTATGAACTTATAGTTACAATTCGATTTAAAAAATGTTGTTCTTTATATTTAAATAAAAGCAAACCTCATGCTCATTTTCACTAAAAAAATAATCCATTTTAATTATGCATCTGATGCTGTTATCCTTGAGAATGTAAATGATTATGCAAGTCTTGTGCAATTCGATATTGCATAAATATTTGAAACTACAAAGCCAGACGAGTAATCTTTCTTTGATAGACCATCATTGATATTCAGAAAGGCATGCCCGATAATAAATAATATCCAATCGAATGCGTTTATGTTCAGCAATAAGATCTGTTTATCATTGTGTGTATCACAATTGAGATTATCAAAGTTACCAGTGTGATTATCACTCATATTTAAATCTCACACTTTTAAGGTTTCCTTATTTTCATTACTCAAAATTTAAAAAAAAATATATTCATCTTCTTTATAAAACTGTTATTGATTGGATTTCTTTGAACAGAAGATAACATTATATAGAACGTTTTTTCATAAAAAAAGGTATTCTGACTTTCACGCCGGGTGATATTATTTCACACACACTGGATTCCATGAAAAACTTGCAGTGGAAGATTTATCATAGTTATAGTATAAACTGATATAGACAGTATAACGTATATAAAGTCTGAATGTAATTTTCATCAATACAAACTGACATTGTGCAATGGATTCATATTCAAGTTAGTAATTTGATATCAAGGTAAAGTGACCTAATATGTTAAAGTATAGTATTGCCGATATCACTAATTATGAAAATATCAGTTACACTTTTTTTTCAATAAAATTTCAGATACATCATATCTTGAGACGCATTTTACAGAATTATTTCCGTTTGTAATTTGAGTATTATAAAACAGAATGTTCAGGGGTCGAACTCAGGACCTTAAAACTGTATATGCTAAACATTTAAATATTTGAACACCTTGACAAGGGAAATTAGGCATAGAAAAAATCCATTTTTGTTGTCTCATCGTCCATATCAAAAAGAAGAAAACTCGAAGTCGGGGAAAGCAGCTTTAAATTGAAAATCTTCTTAGATGCATGATACCCTTTTCCTCAACTGTTTAACCACATAGTTTACTGTCTTTTAATAGGTGATGAGATTCGATGAATGCCTCCTTCTTCTGACTGCGATTGTATCCACAGTGCGATGTCTGCCGCTAGGTGTCGCACTTTACAAGGAGGCAGATCTAAACGTCATAGACAAATTACGAAAAGAGATATCAGTCTGGTCTCAAAAGTCGACATCTCAAGGAAATGGTCAGTATAAATTATCCAAATAATTCCAATTTAAAAATAAACCAAATAGTTGACAAACAGTAACTTTTGAAGAGGGTTTTAACAAGCAAAATTTACCTAATTAAGGATATCACCATGTGAATAGAGATCCGACACGGTATTTTGCTCGTGTACACAATACAAAATACCTTATGAGACACATTTTGAGTGAACATGAATCCGAAACAGAAGCTAGTTAACATGAAGCAGAGCTAGCATTTCATGTTATATGTGGTGGTGAAAGATCTTTCACATCGATATATGCATGTTCTACTGGACAGTTTTTTTCCATATATTTCCTTCATGTGAGAGTGTAAAAGCATGTAAATTTCGAAAGCAAAATTTAAAACATATAAAAATAAAAAAGACACAGGTTAGAATACAGTAATTAGAATTTCAACAGAATATCAGGTTGCCTTGGTCTGAAGTACTGTGAAATTAAAGCCATGAACATTTTGAATTTTTTTTCTCTCCCAGAAATGATATGTCAAAAGAAAATATCCAATAGGGGTTTAACAGAGTAAAAGACATAGCAGATGCGTTTTATTTCAATTTCGTGAGCGTTTTTAAAAAAAAAATATATTTAATGAACTAACTGATATTGTCAATTTACGTCTAATTTACTTTCAGTAAATGCAAAAAAATCACTTCCTTTACAGGATGGATTCTTTAAAGGGATACATTTTGTCATTTAAAAAATAAATAAATGTGTTACTGTATATATTTCACATGTATGCTACTGCTATGGTAGGTGATATACAAGATAGGCATTAACTCTGCTATGCAAGTATCTGCATATTTTAACACTTTAACACGTTTGCACATTATTATAGATACCACCAAGTCTATCAACATTGACGACGTTATCTACTGGCAAAGAGGTCCTGACAGTTATGAAGTAACTTTTAATGGTTTTCGGAGTCCGGTCACCATCCGTCGGTCCCTCAGATCCTCTGTAGCTGAGCCTTGGCCAAAACCACGCGTGTTCAAGCCGACGAGAAACTTTTACAGAATGTATCCCCAAAATTTCACCATTGTGGTCAAGTCACATTCTTGTGACATCATAGATGACGCCATTCTTCGCTATAACAAAATAATTTTCGAAGATTCGATTGAGGTTTCAGAGGAAAATTATTTCAACGCACCAAAATCGAAAATCAAGAATGAAATGAGTCATGAAAACTTGTTGTACTTTCTGGACACACCTTCCGTACCTCATGTGCACATACGCGTGAAAAAAGAGTGCACGGAATATCCTAACGCCACATCAGATGAGTCATGTAAGTTATTGTAAGGGAGTGTCAAATGTCGAAAATAAGCGTCATTAAAACATGTTGTTTTATAAATGATGTTTCTCAGTTTCGAAACGACTTATAAGCCTCTTTTATTTACAGTACCCATTTTGCTGTAAATTGGCTTGAACAACTTCATCATTTCGTAAACATTGGGGATAGGATTTAATAATCGATGTGGTATATTATCATCGAAACAGCCTACTTAAATTATATATGCAATCATACATATGTTATCGAATCCTTTCTACGAATAATAAAACAATTGTTTTGAATTTAAAACTTACCATTCATTTCTTTAAATTACAATCAAGTATATATACAAAAAAATGATCGTTATCTAATAACAATTTGCAAATAATAGTATGAATATAACCGTAATGTCAATGCGTCTCTGGAACTGTAGTACATTATGAAGTTGTATAAGATCAAATATGATTAGAATTTTACCATAGATATTCACATATTTGAATAATAATAATATGCAACATTTGATACAGCGCCCTATCTAGCTAGAATAAGCCAATATAAAGCGCTTTACAGTACATATATATACAGTTAAACATAAATTTTGATGGGGAGTGGTGTTTAATGAGATGCTGGCCAAAAAAGAGTAAAACTTTTCGAATGTATATAAGATCTTGAAAAAAATCGTTAAGTTTTTTCATGGTAACGCAAAACATACGTATTAATTAGGAATTTTCATGCTCTCCAGATTCATCATGATCGACTTGTCCTGCAACAGAATCAATTGTCATTTCTTACTTTATAAATGTCTTCTTCAACTCGAATAAAGCTGTTGGTGACATGCACTTCTCTGTGAAATATGCAAGAAACACTATGGCGGTTGGTTGGGTGTTTGTATAGCATTTAACGCCATTTAGTTTAAACTTTCTTTTATTCAAGTATTTCAATTTATACATATATATGCAATATCTATAAATATATATATACAGCCTTTTGTAACAAAACACAAAAAAGGAAATAGAAACAAGTGTCTTAGACACTTATGTAAATCTATCACCTTTAAGGACGCGCTACCGTGACGGAAGGCAAGCGTAGAGAAGTCAGTAGACGAATATCCTGTTTCGTCCCGCCTTTTACGTGGTTGTTAATGTTGCCTTTTCAATTTGTTTGACGTTTCTATGGTCCTATTGTTTGTTTCTTTTTACTGTGAATTTTTGTAATTTGTCGTTGTGATGAGGCTTCTTTCATATGCATTGCACTTGACTCTCCGCTTTGTTCTATTGTAGATTTACTGACGGTGACCCCTACTGGTGTCAAATTGGATGCAAATGAGGTGTGGGGTGTGATTAGGGGTCTAGAGACCTTGAGTCAACTAGTGGTCACTAATGCCGGACAGGTACGTAATACTGTGTAATGTAACCTTAAAAAAATTATCTTTAGGTTTGAAAATTCGCGAATAAAGAATAATTAGCTACAGGGAATAATACAGTTAAAAATATCCTGCAGAGCTGTTTTTCGCTGTATTTAGATTTTATTTTTTTTGCAATTTTCGCGCTGACAATTGTTTCCGCGAAATGAACAGAACTTAAATTTATCCAGAAATCTTTTACAGTAATTAAACATAATCAAAATAAAAAAAATAGAAATAATAAAAAACACACTGTCGGTTCTTTTGCTTTAGTTAAATTCATTTATATATTAAGACACATAAAATAGATAATGATTGATGTTTTTTCAGTTTTACATCCATGAGGCTGTAATACGAGATGCTCCCAGGTTTAAGTATAGGGGGTTTCTTCTGGACACTGCCAGACACTTCATCACGAAACAGGTCATACTAGACGTGCTGGTGAGTACGTATGTAACTCATAATGTCGAAGACTTCTCTAAATTTATTATCGTTGACATTTTATCACAATGGAAATATCATCAAATGAAAGAGAGTGAGAGACAGACAGAATGAAAGAGAGACAGACAGAACAGAGACTAAGACAGATACAAAAAGAGAGACACACACAGGTGTCAACTAGATAGAGAGAAGAGGTTTTAAATTATAAAACATATACTCTCTACACTTATATAAACCGAAATATTTTATGATTGAAAAAAATAAATTCTCATGTTAGATACTTTTTTTTATTTTTCAGGAAGGCATGGCCCAAAACAAGATGAATGTACTACATTGGCATATGGTAGACGACCAGTCTTTTCCCTATAAAAGTGATATTTATCCAGATCTCAGCAAAAAAGTAAACCAAGTTGCGTTTACCAAAAACACTTAAACAATTTTTGTAAATAGTTACTGTCAAAGTTCTGTTTCTCGTAACAAATTCGTCCCGAAAAAAATGAAACCCGCGAAAATATTATCTGATGCGTCATGGAAAGCAGACATGGAATCCATAAATAATAGATCCTACGACATCAAACATATAAACAAATACGCGAAAATATCGGCCTGCTGGATAAAGGTTAATACAATGGATGTACAATGTAGTTTTATTGGTAACAGCAAAGATTGATTCATTTGCTTTCTATTTCGGTGGTAGTTTCGCATAGAAGAAATATGTTTCTAAATAATCAGAGGCCTTAAGATATTGAGAACATTAACAGTAATAGAGAGCATAGTTTTTGCTACAGTTGAACATGTAAGAATCATTTTGAAATTATTTTAAATATTTCTAAATTGATTGGTGGGCATATAAACGATATATAAAGAAAGTCCTATTTAAATATCAGTGGAATAAACAATAGCTCAGTCTTAATAACATTTAAGAGTTAATTAAACACGGCAGTCATTTTGAAAGATACTCTCTTCTGATACTGTGGAGGTTTCATTGAGAAAAAGCAATGTCTTTCTAAAAGTCGAAGTTAAAGACTGTATAATTTCCGGAAAACCCACTTTCATGGATAACTTTTATTCACTTCGAGATGTACGATCCGTATTTACTTTCTTTAAGGGTGCCTACCATTCAAGCATGGTTTACACTCGGAATGACATTGCTGATATCATCGAATTCGCACGGCTTCGAGGGATTCGTGTGATACCAGAATTCGATACTCCAGGTAAATATAAACTAAGATTTTCTTTTCAAATGCAAAAGTCCGAAGTTTTGGTACCGGAAGTAGGATACAAATAAAATGAGCACACTCAAGTACTCAGGAAAATAATCAAGTATGTATTTAAATGAACTCCTACCAAATAACATTAAACATACGTAGAATGATTTTGTTACGATTTCTATGATGTCACATTTTCGCGACTTGTGTGTGCTATAAAATCTAGAAAAATACAAAATATTATCAATATTATCTCGCCTGAGATATTCAACACGTGTTTTACAATTCTGAAGTATTGCCATTTAATCCTTTTTTTTTTTATTAAATGCTTAAAACTGAAAGTCATTTGTCGTCGGTTAGGTAACAGATTTGCTAATATACAGGCCTTGCTCATGCACTGCATGTTCCAACAATTGTGAAATTTAAACACAAAGGGGAAAATGAGATCCAACGTCCGCTTAATGTTGTTTAGGGTAGTTCTGCGTACCCTAGTTTGTGAATTCCTAAATTGAATTCAATAGTGCGGCCATAGTTATAATCGAAATTCAAAAGGAGAGATGCCCAGACAACATACAATGGGGAGTCTCGGCACATTTAAAATACAATAAAATTTGCAAATATTCCCCAACTGTTGTTGTCTTGTTATCTTTTCTTTTGAGTTGTGAAAGTTGTCAAATAAAACTTATTTTAGGATTATATGTTGGAATTATTAAATCGTAAATCTCCAGTTGACATGCATATGTAGTTATGAATATTAAAGTGACTTTGACCTTATTGAATGACCGTATTGTTGAGTCAGTTATGACTCCCGAGTAATGCACTTTAGCTCAGTAAACTTTATTTTCACTTTGAGTTTTAGTGTATTTGAATTGAAATGTTCAGATTAGATTATTTTTGAAATTAGATCCTAGTATACGAAACGGTTTTCTTTCACTAGGGCATACATATTCGTGGGGGTTTGCCGACCCTGATCTGTTGACTCAATGTTACCCTGGTAAAGAGGAGACTGTACCTGGTTTCCTGGGCCCCATGGATCCCTCAAACGAACACGTGTTTACGTTTCTGGCCCAGTTCTTCAAGGAGGTACTGACAGTGTTTAAGGATCCTTACATTCACCTTGGCAACGACGAGGTATTCACGGAATGTTGGTGAGTTCACACAACTATATGCACCCCTCATAGCCTAGTTTATTAATTGATTGTAATTTATTGTCGCCATTTTGAATCAAAAGAAAAATATTTTTTATGTTTTTAATTTTAGAGAGGCGTTCAAACTTAATCAGAATTTGTTATTTGAGTGAATATTTTGCTATTTATTGTACATGTACATTGCATTGATGAAAATCTGAATAAAAAGATAATTATAAAAACAAAAATTAAAAAAAGAAAAACGTTTTCTTTGAGCTCATGGATTAAATTTTACATTATGTATTCTTTGACCCATTGACGATAAAGACAATTATTGTTGCATAACACAGGTGATCTCATCACTACGCATTGATACAGTACAATGACGAAGCACAGGACGTACGTTTGTACGTTTACGTCCGCCGTCAAACATCCCTCGATATAGTTTTGTTATGTTCATATGAATAAACATTAATTATTATTGGCTTGATTTTAAAACTTAAAAAGGTGTGTAAAGTATGTGATAATTATATACGAATTGCATAAATTCTACAAATTAATTTTGAAAATGGAACTATATTTTGTTAGTTTTGTAGTGCTGCTGTTGCTAGGACTCCCAGCGAAAGTTTTTCATTTTCCCGCTGTTCTTTCTAACAAATGTAAATATAAAGACTGATTTTTTTTCAACATTCATGAGGTAATACAATTTAACAACATTTGCTTTCTGGACATATTGACGATGAAACGCGATTTATTTCAAATATGTCCAAAAAGCCTATGTTGTTATGACCTCATGAATGTTGAAAAATAAATTACAGTCCTTAAAAGCTGCCGTGCAACTTTCAGTAAGTTCCGTGTGAATGTTGCCTTTAGCTTTGAAATATGTATTTTTTGACCACATTACTGCTTAACATTTCATTTAATATGCAAAATAGGTGACATTGGGATTCCGTTTCACTTACTTTATCTATTAGTTATCTTTTCATATAGTTTTTTCTTACAGAGGTTTTAAATATGTTTCGGTCGACATAAAACATACAAATATTACAATTCCTTAGAACCTAATTGGCGTGACTTCATTTTTCATGGTGTCTTCTGTTATGTTTTAATGTATCCTTAAATATTGTTGTTGCACTGTGTTTCCATTTCGACTATGCGTTCTGATTTTGTCTATGTGCTGAGATGCTTTAATATCAATTTCTTGTATTTAGAAAAAGTAACAAAGATTAATATGTACTTAAGTACTGTTACTCTATACCGGGAAATTTCCGCCCAGTCAAATGTTTGCGTTTCGACGGTAAAATCCATTTTTGCACAATGTCAATTTCTCCTTTAACGTCTAATTATTAGTAACACATATATGGGGACCGCGGTGGCGAGGTGGTTAACGCGTCTGACACTCTGCTACCACTAGCCCTCCACGAATGGGTCGTGGGTTCGATACCAAAGTGGGGTAGTCGTCAGGTACTGACCGTAGGTCGGTGGTTTTCTCCGGTTACTCCGGCTTTTCTCCACCACCAAAACCTGGCACATCCTTAAATGACCATAGCTGTTAATAGGACGTAGAAAACAAACAAACCAAACCATTATAATTACTATGTTTATTATCATGCTCATACCGAAAGGCAAAAAAGGCGAAAATTAAACTGCAGTGGAAATTTCCCAATGTACAGTATGTCATTGATAACGTACAATGTATTTACTATGCTTTGTCTAATATCTCCAATTTAGGGCATCGAATCCTAAGGTTATAGGGCTATTCCAAAAACTTTATTTTGAGAAAGGAATGGAGGAAATTAAGACTGCACACAGTACAGACAACTCAACATTACAGGTTGATATACGGTAAGATTTTACTCCACGTAATAACTTTTTTTTTCTCAATATAAATAATTTGCGTTACAAAAAATAATGAAGGTATTTATTTATAACAATAAAATATAGTTTACCTTAATATCTCATGATAATGTCCTAATTATGAGCTATAAATATCTAAAAACACTGTTATTTTACTCTAAAGAGCGATGGTTGGCAATGGTGCGCAACACATAAAGGATATTTGAGTATAGATCACAGCCGGGATAATGAACTTTTATTACTAAATTTTAAGGAATGCATTTTGGTTGCTAGCGATAAAAGTTTTCATATCCAATACTTACACTTTCGACCTCTTGTAACACTCAAATGATCTAAGAACTATCCCTAGTCTTGTCTACTTTAATTTCCTTGGTACCGAAACAATTTATTAAAACATTTATCCTAGGAAATACTATATTACATAATCAAATTATTATTCTTTCAAGCAAATTAAATAGTCCTGCTATTCGGCATATTGACTAACCATTTATTTGGTTCCCTTTCAGACTACTAAACAGGGGTTTGCGCACTATGTCAGAAGAAGAGCAGGACAAAGTGTTACCAAAATATGTTTGGGACTATTATGTTAAAAGGTCAGCATTTCTTTCATATATCTTATAATATTCCTCAGTATACTATTAATATAGCCTGACTTATATTAAGAAATATAAATTAATTCAAAATAACTTTCGTTCTTCGGTAACCTCCATGTGTATATAATAAGTTAAGTCACCATTGTTTGTCATTAACAAAGTACATGACACAAATCATTTTAACCAATACGAAGAAAATGCTTAGAACTGGTATATATATTTCTAAGTCTAAAACTCCTTCGGAGAGGAGATGTGTGTAACACTATAAAGAAGTTTACATCAATAAACATAGGATATTTGTTACTGTCTACATCCAGGAAATACGCCATTTGAAGAATAACCTCGAAAAATGAAATTAAGATATTTTCAAAATGATTTAAATACAATATCCGTGTTGTGCGCGTATCGCCTTCCTTAATAAGCGCGATTTGTTTAAGTCGCAACTATGGAGACACTTTGATATATCGTAATTTCTAGCTTATTTCCCGCTCCATTGGATTGCCAGCACGCCTCAAAATATCATGTTTAGTAAGAAACGTCTGCAAATTTTTATCTCGACAGATGCCAGATGATGATCAGAAACATATATGGAATATTCAAAATTTTCTTTAGAAAAATTTCCTCACATATTTCCTTATGTGTAACAGCAGCGTTTAAAACGTCAATTTTTCCGCATCGCTCATAGAAGGAAATCTTGAAATGCAAAAGAAATATACATCGTTTTTCCAGTAATATGAAAACATTATGCCACAAAGACATGGCGGCACAGTTTTGTTAAATATATATTTCATAAACATACCAGGCAAAGCAAACACATTCCTCTACTGCATTCAGCTTTGATTTTATATACCATATTTTTGTTAATTTTGATAAGAAATCAATCAGCCCTATGCTGAGTCTATTTTTCAAATGTTAAATTTAGGCACATACTGTAACCTAAATGGATAAGTTTACATTGAACTGATCATAAACTTCATTTACAACAGTACACAGCTAATTTGTGAAATAAGTTAATAATTATCTTTCCTTTGAAGATTGCGAGAAATGTTCAAAAAGTTGGAAGAATTTAGACAAGAAAAGATGGAGTTCATTATGTGGGAAGATGCCCTTCGTGAAAACATTTCGGTTCGTACTTTAATCAATAGCAATACTTGAAACTGATAATTTGATCAATTGATAATTTATACATCAGTAATGCAGTTTCAGTGTTGACTGCTACAGAAACAAACATATTGACAGGAACCAATACAGAAATGATATTCCGAGCTTAGGATCAGGTTACTTATTGGCACAACGACATAGAACTTTATTCGTGGCTGGAGAAAAATCAAATCGGAAGAGAATTTAAGCATCATGTATTTTTATGTACAAATTTTGTTAATTACGAATACAACAAATTTAATATAGAGTACCAAATACAACTACTTAAGTAGAAATATGCATAGATAACAATTCCCTGCTTTATAGCTGAAATTTCGCTACCTTAATTGAATGATTGTAAATCAGATACTGTAAAATCAGATATTTTTCGTAGGGCTCTAATTTCACGGTTTAACGACAAAACACCATTATGTGGGTACATGGATTCTTGGATTACAAGTACCTAATCAAACGGAGAATACATCAAACTTGTAATCATATCGTGGACCTATGCATTCCTGGATGAAGATTTCCCACGAAATCAACGAATTAATGTTCCACGAAAATGAGTGAATTTACAGTAAAGTGTTTTTTTTCTCTTATATAAATTTAAAGAAAGGTTGGAAACTAAAACTGGACAAAACGTTTTTTTCTTGGTATCAACTTCAAAGTTTTGTATATTTATATTGATATATAAACAGGTGAACGTATGAATTCATTAGTTATCATGGTGTTCTAAGGTAATACCGTGTTCTAAAAGGAGGGGAGATATTTTCCATCGCACCTCGGCTAACTCTGCATATCAGCTAAAATAAAACAAAAAGAAAGCAAATATGTAGGTCAGATAAATCTGTATGAGCACTTGGCAGTTAAGAATAAATTGTAAAAATCATTGTTTTTGACCATAATAAAAAAAGAAAATGTACTGTATAACATGAAATCCGGGCTATGTATGACCTTTTGTGGTTGTGGTGTTTGCTATGGGACAACAACAAACCATACAACACACTTAGTTTATATTCTTTACAAATGTTTGTTTATGTGGGGGTTAATGGCTTTAAACCACGAAGAAAAATATCCACGAACAGTTCATGTAATACAGTATAGATAATAATTAGCGAAAGATTTCTGACACCGCTTGATACATCTCGTTAAAACGTATATTGACACTCTCAATATAGAAAACAAACCTATCCGATACATTATATACTGTGAAACCAGATATTTGGATCGGGCCCAAATTTAGTCGAATCTATGAATTCATGGATGACGAATACCTATTCAAACAGAGAATTGCTCTATATTAAACTTGTAATCACTTCGTGGATCTATGAATTCGAGGATGAAGATTATCATCGAAATCAACGAAATCAAAAACCACACGAAAATAAGTGATTTCACAGAAAATGCCAAGGTGTTTTGATTTAAGTAGTTTTCGTTTATTTACCTTGCCTTTCCCATTAATTGCTCTAAGCCAACATACGTGGCTTAGGTATGATCTCACCCACCACTTAATTAATCTCGTTCACTTTTCAGGGCAACGTTATATATTTATTTGCTTTTCTCGTAGGTCTCTGTAATACCAAATATCTGTGTACACATTTCAAAAACGCTTCGTTCTATAATAATACTACAGTCCTGTTATGTACATTGTTGTCTTCCATACATCAAAGAACACTATTTGACAGATACAACTCTATTGTTGCTTTCATGGCCATTCTTGATCCAAAAGGACACCAATTTCAAGGCTTGGTGGACAATTAGCTACAAGATTTTCTAAAACAATGCGTTTCTGTTGTGGTGCAAAGAAAATGGTAGTCTCACTGTGCTTTTAAATACCGGATAACGCCATTTCCTAGGCAAAACATTATGAATCGGGTCATTTATTGATATATTTGCATTATAACCTTATTTTTCACCTTTTTACGGTAACAGATTCCAAAGGACACCATTATCCAGGTATGGCGGACAGACAACTACCTAAGGAGGGTGTTGTTAGAAGGATTCCGAGTTATATATTCTTACTGCTGGTACCTAGACCGAATAGATCCCGGCGTCCACTGGCGCAAGTTCTACCAGTGTGACCCTTACGGTAGGTATCTTACCCAGTAAATATTATCGTAGAAACACAAAAATATATACAGCATAAATAATTCTAGTTTTAGAATTACGCGGTTTTTGTAGTAATATCCAATCCTCTCATGTGTACATGTCACATGAAGTGTACATGTCACATGAAGTGTACACATGAAGTGTACATGAAGTGTACATGTCACAGCTGGTTCTCCCCTTCATAGCCTGATTTTGTGTCTGGATTTATCTGTCTCCAGCTTTATGAACGTTTCTTACTTTGTGGCAATTCCTTTGCTTAGTTAGTCCATAGTAAAGCATTGTTGAAGTTAAGATTTTTTTTTTTTCGTAAATTAAATAGTGCATTCCCTGGGGAAAAATGAAGGTAAGGAGAGTTCATGAAAATGGGAGCTGGCTAGATGCATCATGTTGACCAATAAACTACTCAGTTAGTTTTTTTCTAACTAACAGAAAGGTCGCAATTAACACTGAAGAAATGTTACGCCATCATCATGACATAAATTCCAACTCTGTCATCGACAGAAACTGAAAAGTATCTGGACTAAGTTTATGTGTGCCTGATATAATTCTGCCATCGCTCCTTCCACAAATCCTTACCATTTTAGATATAGATATATAAATAAGATTTGATTTATTACTGATAAGTTTTATACACGTGTTTAATTTATCTTTATCAAGACGACATTGTGAATGAAGCGCGGTTGCATTTAACAATATTATACAATTGAATACTGAATATTAAAGCTATTCTAACCAAAGAACAACTTTGATGTAATGGATTCAAAATGCAATACATAGAAATATAATCCTATGGAATAATAGAAAAAAATGTCCCGATAAAAAGGAGCGTTTTTTATAAATTATATCGTTTTGAAGAAGTAATAAAGAAATATTATACTTTGTCCTTTTTTAAAATAGTCACGAAAATATTATTTTGACTCCTGTGTTATGTTACCCAACTTTATCATCAGATGGTGGCCGCTACGCGAATGACAAGGCCATACTTGGAGGAGAAGTATGCATGTGGGGAGAATACATGTCAAGCGAGATGTTGATGAAGTGGCTTTGGTATGTAAACACTTTGTTGCTAACGAACAGCAATTAAATTCTGTGTCATACGTCTCTTGTCAAAAGTTCCACCCTAAGAATCTAAACCCAATCATTAGTGAATGATAACATGGCTTGGTAGTTTGTTTGTATGTGCACTTTGAAAGTAAACCCCTTAAAGTTTTAGGAAAGAATACGCCTACTATATACAACTCTGTGATCTTAATAGGAGACTTATGTGCCACCCCCCCCC